GGTGGAGCATAGTTCCTGCCCCTGACACCTACAATGGGGTACTATTCCTCCCACTGACATCAATGATGGCACACTATTCCTTCCACTGACACCAACGAAGGGGCACTATTCCTCTCACTGACAACAATGGGGCATTATTCCTTCCATTGACACCAATGATGGGGCACTGTTCCTTCCACTGACACCAACAAGGGGGAAACTGTTTACTCCTACTGACACTAAGACATTTTCTACTCCAGCTGGCCACAGTCTGGCCCTCCTAAAGTTTGGAGGACAGTAAACTGGCCCTTTGTTTAGAAAGTTTGGAGACCCCTGGTCTAAACCAAAGGGAATTCATTCTCCAAGATTACCACCATCTCTTCAATTCAGCTCTTCAGCTACAGTAATAATCTATTAGTTTTCTGTACCGATGGCTAAATGACAGAACAGGGTAATGCTCATGCATTGTTTATGCATGAAAAGCTTTCCCTATAAAAGCTCATATAATTACATTATTGTACAGTAGAATTTTTATCTTAACAGAATCCTGCACATTGGCATTGTTCTTTGTTTTAGCATATTTTACTATTGAAGTCTAAATTGTGCAGAAGGCCTATTTAACCTCTGCCCCAAGCTATTTGCATAAAATGGAATAATTAATTGGGCAGCACAGTGACTAATTGGTTAGCACTTCCACCTGGCACCACCTGCCTGGAGTTTGTGTATTCTCTCTGTGCCTGCGTGGGTTTCCTATGGGTACTCCGGTTTCCTCCAACATTCCAAAGAAATGCTGGTAGGTTAACTGGATCCTGTCTAAATTGGCCCTAGTATGTGTATGTATGAATGCAAGTTAGGGACCTTAGATTGTACGCCCCTTGAAGGTTAGGGACTGATGTTAATGTATAATAAATATATATGTAAATTGATAACACTATATAAGTACCTGAAATAAATAAAATAAAATTAGGATAATTGCTTGTGTGGGAGTTCAGCCCCATATACACAATTAGAATATCATACGGAAAATGCCACTTTTAAAGCAATCGTATGATAATCTGATCGTTACTACACAGCAATTGTAAAAAAAAAATAGAAGGGACAAGCATGAAAATTTTTATAGTAAAATACTGAAACAAACGATTTTAGTTTAAACAGTACAGTAGTCGTCCAAAAATACAATACAAATACATTATATTCTTCATAATTTTTATTCTGTTGTTAAAGAATTTTCATAGCTTTAGTAACCTCTTCACTTTTGATGAGACTAACATGCAGAAAAAAAATGGACGATCATTCGTCCGATATTCTAAACATGTATACGGGGCATTAGGCAAGCCTTAGATTATACCATTTTCTTTATATCCACCATGGGTGGAAGAAAAGAAAATTGCTTGATTCCTCCAGCAACACAGTCAGTGTTGATGAGGGAATCCCTCCCACAGCGCTTTTGTGTTCTGCTGGCTGGGAGCCTTCTCAGCCTGCAGAACACAAAGATCACTGCTAGCAGTTATAGCTACTGGTAGTGACTGTGTACAAAAAATCTGACAGGCTGGTTGTACTGAAATTGATTGATGGACAATCAACTTGCCCATACATTGATTGAATCTTAGCCGGTCCTTGCTGAACCAGCCGAGATTCAATCTATCTATGGTTGGCTTTAAGCTGGCCCAGCGAAAAGCTTGTGACCGATTTATTGAAGAATTATATTTACAGACTCATTAGTATGCACAGACCTGTAAAAACAGTTTTGTAATGTAGTTAGCATATTACGAAAAAAATTAAATACATTGTAAGATCAATTTTAGATGGAAGTCTTTTATAAGTAGAAATGGGTGTGGCTTAACAATTACAAAATATACTAAGGGGTTCATTTATAATGGAGAGCAAGTATCGCTATCTATTGTCAGTTGGGTAACACTCCATACTCTGGTCCATTCATAGAACACAGGTTGTGGTGTGGAGCATGTTGTGTGTCACGCTAAATGTTTGCTGCTTTTCTTCTCTTTGCATTGTTGTAATCCAGTCCATTTATTTTGAATTGAATTGAACATTTTAATATCTGCAACTTTCTTTATCTGCGGTGCAGCACAGGGTTTAAATTATTCACATTTTATGTGTTTTGTGTGTTTTGGTAGGGCATATTCACACTGCTGCATTGCATGTGTTGGTGTGCTGTGATGTCATTAATTGTAAATGTCACCCCAACACACCTACCAAATGCGCAATGCAACATGCAGCAATGCACTTCCATGTGCTGAGGTGCACTGTGCTAGTTTAACATGCTAAAGGGGACATTTTTGGGCCATTGTGGTGCTTTAGGTCCTTTTAATTAATGGGCTGCCTTAATGCAAAGCTCGTTAATATGAGATAACATGCTGCAATGGGCTGTCATTGTGTGAATAGGCCTTAAGGTATGTTGGGATACCTTTCAAAATAAAACACATTTTACCCCACATTACTGCAATGCATTAATATGCATCTTGTTGCCCTTTGCCTCATATGCAACATACTGTCTGATACAGTGAAAGTGATAAAAACAGCCAGTATATACTATTCCCTGTTGAATCACTAACACCATTACTTAGTGGTTTATGGTGATATGGACAACGTGAAGAATTGTTTCTGTACCGGTTAGATGCCACATTTATTAGATGCATGCTTTGTCAATTAAGGCAAGGAATAATGTTTTGAAGTCCCAATTAGTGATTTTATGCCAGGGTAAAAAAATTGTCTCATTTCATTTTACTGTGATTTATACAACAGATAGGCAGTCTCCTCTAATCTTTGCACAATTATCTTTGTTGTTATATTGGGTGAACACATTTCTTCATCTCAGATTGAGTACACTTAGAAGTATTAGAATACATTGCTAGCTACTAACCTAATTTTCTCTCCTGACAAAGGCTGGTGTGCTTTGATAAATCTTAAAACAGGTTGTTAGGAAATAAATATAATTGAACCAATACAGAATAGAACACAGTGTATGCTAAGTCTTTTTTTCTATAAAATGCTGACACTGAAAACATACAGACCAATACTTTATTGGTTTATTTTCTGTTTTGTGTCTTTTTTTTCTTTGTTCTTGTAATTTATAATCTGCCATTTAATAAAGACCTATAATATATACAGTATATACATTTTACCTATATTGTATGCTCTGCATCCTTCTTCCTAAATACATCTATAAACAACTGAACAGTCTATAAAGGTTGTTAATATATGAGTCTGCCATTTAAACAAGACCTTTTAATATACATTTTAACTTTATTGTAGGCTCTGGATCCTTCCTCCTAAATAAATATGCTGTATAAACAATAGGAAAGCCTATAAAGGTCCATAAGATTCTGCTATTTAAATGAGACCTTTGATATAAACTTTCACTTTATTGTGGGCTCTGCATTTTTCTTCATACATAAATATATAAAAATGAAAGGACAGCCTATAAGTGCATAATATAGGAGTCAGCCCGATCTGTTTTTATTATGCATCTGCTTCTGTCGATAACTTCCTAATAAAAAGGGTTCATTGCTTTCTAGTGGCAATAATTTCAGTCTGATACATTTGAAGACACATGCGATTCAAAGGAATATACAATTTCATAAAACAATTGACTACTGTCTGTGATACTTTTATTTCATTTGCACTAACATCCAGGTTATCAGGACAAGTTTTCAGGGTGCGTCCTCTTTAGGCTTCGTTCACACTACTGCGACCTGAAAGTCGCACTACTTACAGTGAGACTTTGCCAGGCAACTTCAGTGTGATTTGCTGCCGACTTGAGGTTGATTTTGATGTGGCTTGGTGCGTGACTTTCTTGCCATGTGACGTTGCCTGGGTAATCTTCCTGTAATGTCAAATCCAAATCACATCAATATAGATGAGCATCCGACTTGGAGGCAACTTCCATTAAAGTCTATGGACACAAGTTGGATAGAAGTCACCTTGAAGTAGTACAGGAACCTTTTCTAAAGTTGAAGTGACTTCAGTGGTGTTATAAAACATGTGGCCTGTTATGGCTAAGGAAGGGGGGGGGGCACTCGCTCATCTCCCCCCTTTCCTATGCTGCATGCTCTGATAAGGTTCTGGTATGAATTTGGGGGGGGGGGGGCATGCCACTCTTTTAAATTTTGGAATGCGGTTCCCCTTAAAATTGATTCCAGACCTAAAGGGCCTTGGATAGGAGGGTACTCTCACACAGTACCCTCAATTTTTAATTGCTGACATTTTTTTTTTACATTCAGCTGTCAAGAGGGGAACTCTGCTGACAGCTGATAAGTCATCAGTTGTTAAGGATGCGGCAGACTGCTTTGTAGTCCACTCCTTAGCAACCAACTATTCTTCAAATAGAATTCTGATCGGTTGATCAATTTTCAACCAATTCGAATTCTAATCATTCCAAAAATTCTAAATTACGTAGAAAATAAACTAAACAAATTCTGAAAATGAATAATGAAACAAAATTAGTATTATAACAAATATACCCGAAATGAAACTAAACTAATTTTTCCTTTCTGCGCATGGCTAGTCAATTGTTTTTGTAACAAATGAAATAAATACGGCTGCAATCACCTCAAGTACAATTACATGAGAATAACAGAAATAAACAGTGATTGGATTTAACGGAGAAACAACCAAAAATCTAAATACCTAAAAACAATGATGCTCTATTATTCCAATACTTTAGAATGCCAGTCTGGAGCAGGGGCCAGACCTTTCATAACATGTTACACCCTGAATATGGGTGTAACATATAAGATGTTACAAAAGGTGAACTTATCCTTTAAGGAGGGTAATATTTTCAACAGTCAGAATTCAAGCTGGAGTGAGAATTTGAGTTAACATAAACTTGATCTTTTGTAGCAGTCCAAGTCCTCTACCCAAGTTTCATATTCAGACCAATAACAAATATTGCTCAAAAATGTGTTTGATTTTTCTGATGACCTGTCTTACTATATAATGATTCATGTGTGTTATACAATGTTTTCAGTGAACTTTATGTGACTATTCTTTTTTTTTTTTAGATTGAATCCCGAAAGCGACTTGCTAAAACAGTCTTGGTGTTTGTTGGACTATTTGCATTCTGCTGGCTGCCAATACATGTCATCTATATATACCGCTCCTACCATTATTCAGAAGTGGACACTTCCGTCCTACACTACATCACCAGCATCTGTGCTCGGGTGTTAGCTTTTACTAATTCCTGTGTAAATCCATTTGCCCTGTACTTGCTCAGCAAAAGTTTCAGGAAACAGTTCAACAACCAATTGTTCTGCTGCAGGCCCCGGCTCATTGTCAGATCGCAAAGCATGGGAAGGAGCACCACCAGAATGACCTCTTTGAAGAGTACCAACCACTCGATTGCCAGCTTCAGTCTGATTAATGGCAAACATATCTGTCACGAAGGCTGTGTATAAGATCCACATGCCATCTTTTCCTGGACATTTGTACACTTCCACGTCCTTACTTTGTATTTATGTATGTGTAAATAAGAGAAGTATTATGAATATCCACACAGGGTTTTTGTGTGTTGCAGGGAAATTTAGCAGATGTTGACAGTTGGTAACTCTCCAGCAATGTTTAAAGCAATCTGGTTACTTGGATAATGTTATCTCAGTGACAGGAGAACCTAAGAGCTGATATACCTAATTTTATCTTTTAAGACATCCCATTGAGCTCCCAAAGTCCAGGGTACTCTTTATACAATGGCAACCTTCAGTTCCAATATCTGTTCTTTGTGCCTCACCCAGCAGTATGGAGGCCTATATTGCAGGGTGTGGCACAGCTTCAACTTCCAAGCTGGAAATATGTGTTTGCATGCACAATGCCTTGACAGATTAAATGGTGTATGCTCAGATACAGGTACATGTTTTTAGGTTCTCATGTCATTTTTTTGTCCTCCGTAAGACAGGTGTACTTTGTAGGGACAATCAACTCACACAACACAAAACAATGTTTATAACATTTACAGATAAGTAGAAGCTCCATGTCTTGACATAACCTCAGATAATTTATGTTGTGTTAAGAGAGATGACCCAAAATAGGAATATGCTGCACATAATTCAACCCTAGCTTCTTAAAGGAGAATTCTATTTGGTAGAAAATAGAGATCCATAGCGTCTGGGACCTGTAACACAGAGTGAAAGTAAAGCTGCCAAAAGAACAATAGGAGGCATGGTGTCCTTCTTAAAACACTAGCTATTTGGCATTGTTGAATCACTGACCCAGAGCACGTGCACAAATCAGATGTTCTTAGTTCACTTGCAGCATGATTGCACATTGTTGGGGCAGCGACTCAGAGAGAGCTGAGAATATGAGGCAGCAAGGCAACTAACTTTTTAAAATAAAGCTACCATTGACAGCCGATGTATTTCACTCTTTTGGGCAACACTTATGTCAGAACCATTTCTCTCCTCATAAAAATCTGTGAAAATGTGAAAGTAGCTTGAAGCAGGTCAAGTGCAGAAGGAAAGGAGATTAACTACAAAATGCCTTGAATTTGCAGTGATCATAAAATTATCTCAAACAGATGTCAAAAGGAAGATCATCAATACAGTCCAAAACCCAATGACACAGACCCTAGTATAAAGCTGAAGCCCCTGTATGCTTTAACTTTCACTACAGCAAGGTACTCTTATGATTGAAGCAACATTCATTGAATGTCTTGTTGAAGCACACATTCAGAAAAAAAATCAAGTATACAGAAGCTGACACTTAAAGTGGAGCTCCACCCAAAAGGGGAAGTTCCACGTTAAAGACTGGTCCCCCGCTCCCCATTGAGCATTGGAACCTTTGGGGAGCGGGTCCCCAATATTGACAGGTACCCGCTCCCACTTTCTCTGCGATCGCCTAGGCGATCAAAAGCGAAAGGTGTTCTCCCCCCTCCCTCCCAGTAGTCTTCTGGGACACATGAGAGGTCCCAGAAGACTACGGGGCCATTCAGAAAAGCGCATCACTACTCATGTATGCGCAGCGGGCACCTGGCTGTGAAGCCGCAAGCTGTCACAGCCGGGTGCCCACACTGAAGATGCCGGCTCCTGGAACACCAGACAGCTGGTGAAACAGGCTGCGGGGAGGACACTGCAGGATTGTGGGACAGGTAAGTGGCTGTTTTTTAAAAGTCAGCAGCTACAGTTTTTGTAGCTGCTGACTTTTATTTTTTTCACAGTGCAGCTGGAACTCCACTTTAAGTTGGGTTGATTTACTAAAACTGAGGAGTGCAAAAATCTGGTGCAGCTGTGCATAGAAACCAATCAGCTTCCAGATTTTTTTTTTGTCAAAGCTTAATTGAGCAAGCCAAAGTTAGAAGTTGATTGGCAAGCATGTGCTGCCACACCAGATTTTAGTAAATCAACCCCTTAGTATGTTTTATTTTATTATTTGGGTGTTTTCCAGTGGAGTCCTCCTTTAAGACTCATGGGGGTTTATTTACTAAAGCTGGAGAGTCCAAAATCAGACTCCCTTCTGCATAGAAACCAATCAGCTTCCAGGTTTCATTGCCAAAGCTTCATTGAACAAGCTGAGGTTAGAAGCTGATTGGTTTCTATGCAGAAGGGAGTCTGATTTTGGACTCTCCAGCTTTAGTAAATAAACCCCATGGTGAACCCAGGGATTCTTACTGGGAAGAACACTTTCTCTGAAGGCTTGGCTCCTGCTAAAGCTGTAACATTTCAAACGGGGCCTGTGCAGCCATGTTGTCAATCTGGCAATTCATATATTTTTAGTGACCATCCAGCAGGAGATGGGTGACATCATTGCTTGATACCCCTACTTATGTCCATTTGGATTGTAGTCTTTTATTGTTAAGATCCTTGAGAAGGCAGAAACTGGTGCTTTGGATTTACTTTGGATCTGATAGTGGATCCATCAGCAGTTTTAAATATATTGGCACAAAAAAGTCAGTTGGTCAACTCCCTACTGTGGTTAGCAATGTCACCAGACCTTCCTGCACTATTCTCCTTCTCCTCATTCTCTTTTCAGTGACCTAAACAAAAATGATTTTGAGCTCAGTGTTTTTGGAGCATTCCACGTTATGGTATAGCCAAATGAGGGTTGAACCACATGACAAACTTTAGGCACTCTCAATTATTTCAAATTTGCTAGTACTGACCACAATGTCAGTAAGGTTTCTCCCTCTTTAAAAACAGGGCAGCATTTATAAGCTGCTAAGGCTGTTTGAGATGTATCTGTAAAAGTTGAATTGCTTTTTTAGTTATTATTTCCAATCCGATGAGCCTTAATGAAATCTAATCAATCAATGCATACACGATTATTCATTTAAGCAAATCGCTATTCTCTGAGTACATCCGTTAGTATCAGCTAGATACAATTCATCTTCCACTCATTTGATTTCAGTAGAATTAACTTCGATTGGCTGATTTACTCATGTTTGAATGGTCTGAATGTTTTCATGTAGATCTGCCTGACCAGTGGAGACTCGTGCACTTTTGGAAAGCAGATTCTCTGAATATACAAAAAAACATACATGTATCTAGGTCAATAATAAACTGCTCAGGTTGCCCAGATCATAAATCAATTTGTTCCTCACTGTACAAATGAATGCACTTTCCATATCTTACTTGCTTTTTTGCACTGCTTTAATAAATAAACATAGCACAAGTTATTTAAGATTTTAGATCTGTGGCTTGCTAGAATGGTGGCAATTGTAGTTGAACATTACTTGGAGAGTAACTGATTGCCAACATCTCTATTGTGAAGACAAGTTCTAGGATATTTGCTGCTATGAAGAAGATGAGTAAATGAAGCTGGTTTCAGGGAAAGTAAAACTAAAAACAATTTGCCCTTGTGAAAAAATGACAAATGCACAATGTTTGCATGCAGGAAATGAGAGACTGAACACTGCAATCCACATTAGTGTGTCTGTTGTGTTTAGGAAAAGATGTTTTCTCAGGATCAGGATTGTATAGCAAATAAGTTCTGTCCTTATACATTCTACTATATTCAGCTTGAATAAGCTTTTTTGGCATGATGGTCCCTTAGACCTCCTAAAAGTGGGTCTGAAAAGTAAAAGCTTGGTGCTGTGTAGCTCTATAGATATAGAACACCGAAAAATGTTTCCATCACACCCCTAACTGATCTCACTCACCTGCAGTCCTTATTCCTTCTAAATGCTGGCCTGTCCTGCAGAATACTCCCTGGAATAGTGACCAAAATTATTTTAAATGATCTGTAAATCAGTGCAATCTGTATCCAGTACTTGTGCACTTACCATAAAAGGCCAACTTCACCCGAACCTAATGTTTCAGTTTTGCATGGTTCCTGCAAATATGATTGGATATTGACCTCTAGTATACTATTGTATTTCAGAGATTCATACTTGGGAAAAATTCCACATGGATTTCAAAATCCAGCCAACTGCTCTGCTATTATAAAACCACATATTGATAATTCTCTCTCCCACAGTGGATTTTCCTTAATGTACATAAAACAAATAGCTGTGTTTTTTAGCTGCAAGAGAGTAGCATCTTCTTTATTACCGAATTGGAGCACACATGAAAACTACTGCAAGTAAATCCAGCTATTGCAGTCTGTTTGAATGCACTGGTTCTCTCCTAAAACTGAAATATTAGTTTTGAGTAGAGTTAGCCTTTCAAGCAAAAGTTCTTCTTTTAAATACAGATGGTGCTCCTATCTGACCCTAGATAAAGATGTTCATAGTTCGACCCTCCCAAAAATCGCTTGCATCCTCAAATATCCTTTTAAGCAGTATGTTAGTTTTTGGTGCTGGCAACCCAATACCATAGTTCTTTGGGTACCAGAAATGAGCACAAATAAATCAGTACCCCTAAGTGTCCTTACCTCTGACCTATCACTAACTAACTGATAAAACCTTTGGTTTTCTTTAGTTTTGGATACAGTGTGGAAAGGTTGTAATTTCTGTAATTTTTTAGGGCCTTGTTGAGAAGATTTCCATGACTGTGGAAATATTCTCACCAAACAGAAGTGAGGGAAAATCTGTATTGGACACATAGTCATAAAAAAGGCTGATTGGGATTTTTGCCTTCCCCTACTCTACTCTACTGAGTCCCTTGCTGGAAATGTATTCATTTTTCCTATCCTGGTGGCAGCAAAGGTAAATCTCTGCAATTGAGTCCCAGACATTAGTAAAAATCTAACCTTTCCCTTATTATTCAAAAATGTAAATAAAAGTTTGGCTGGACATACGCTTTAATGCTTCCAGAACCCTATTACTTCATCTAACCACTCTAAAATAACCCATAACTCTCAGATTGCACCTGAAAACTAAGGGATCTATGTGTAAAAATGTTGCTGTACAAATGTGTAAAGCATTCACACAGTCCTACAAAACTTGCCAGATTTTGTGTAATATTATTATCATTATTATTATTATTATAAAAAGAATTTATATAGCATCAACAGTTTGTGCAGAGCTAAA